CAGTTCACATTTGAGATGATTACATCCATTTTCGGTCGTTGTTATATCAATTTAATGGAATGAAAAACTGCAAAAAAAAAACACAATAGGTTTTATCTTACGAAGCTTACGAATTTTATAAATTTGAAATGGACTTTAATATAAAAAATGAAGACAACATGAAGATAAACATAATACTCCTTTGGTAAAACTTAAGTGATAAATGAACTTATCGTCCACGTTATGGTAAATGGCTACTGTAGACCAGGTGTACCCGCATTTAAGTTTTGTAAAGAAGATCACAGATGCGTTGTCACCTCTGAGGACTGAGATGGAATGCCTCACAACCTGTAATTATACTGGCGCACTGGTACACTTCAACACACTGCTGTTTAGCGGCAGGAATAGGTAGGTAATAGGGTGACCATTCATACGGACTTCTAGTCAAAAGAGTCCTACTACCTCGTAACAATAAAAATACATTTTATTCTAATCCATTCTAATCTGTGTGCAAGGGTAAATACCGTCTTTTTCTTAAAATAAGAAGCTAACTTGCACATGGTGCTGATTGCAACCTGCTGAATGCTGGACGAAAAAAGCTCCAGTGACCAAATGATGGTATGTATAGGTAATCCATCCAAAAACTCTTAACAAAAAAATCATATACTAGTGGTGAGAAGAGACAGTTGCAGGGACTGGCTCTGCGCAAACCTAGCAGCCATCCCGGTGATTATCGACTAATCTATCTAGTAAACCTTGCCATCTAGCGACGTCGTGTCTAGGTTCGGTAATAGATGAAGGAGATTACGTGATCTTCTTCAAGGTCTTTCCCATTCTAAAAAGTTTTTTCCTGACTGACGAATTCCAGTCGGTAACGTTACAGTTATTCAAGTAGTAGAGATTAGATTAAGGTTATAGGCGTAGCGGTTGATACAATACGAACGATGACACACGATTGAAACTACTATATATAACTAACTACTCCATCATGTCAACGTATCGGCATGACGCTATATCGCTTAAAAACATGGAATCTGTCATATATAATAATATAATATAAAATAATCTATCATGGATCTGTTTTGCAAAATTTGTTATTTGTTTATTGATTCACGCTATGTTTTCATCACAATTAAATCATTTTCGATGTCATAGATAAGATTTAATTCGTAACATTATGGAATATGAGTACCGTCGTAGCAGAAACGCGGCACCGGCGGCAAGCAACACCAACGAATTTTACGGAGCAAATACTACAAACGAATGAAACACTTGTTATTGGTTTGCCCGCTTCCGTTACGGAAATTTCGACCTGAAAAATAAACCCCGTGGTCGTCCGAAAACCTGTTCGACAATGACGAATTAAAGGCGATTGTTGAAGCTGATAATGCTCAATCTACGGCTGAATTAGGAGCAGCTTTCGACGTTACCATCACAACAACATTGGTCCATTTGGGCCAAATTGGCGAAGTAAAAAGCTTGACAAATGAGTGTCCCACGAACTCAATGATGGCCAACGTGAAGTACGCGTGGAGACGTACCTTGCGCTGCTCAACAGGCACACAAACGAAGGAATTTTGAACCGCATTGTTATTGCGACGAAAAATAGATTTTATTTGACAATCACAAGCGCTTAGCAAGTTGGTTGGATCCTGGTTCATCAACTAAAATAATGCTCTAAACGAAAAATTACCCCTAGAAAAGTGATGATCACTGTTTGGGGGTCTGGGGGTGTAGCGCAGGTGTGATTCATCACAACTTATTACCAAACGGGATGAGCATTACTGCAGATGTGTACTGTGAAGAACTGAATACAATGATGGAGAAGCGCGCGTCTCCAACCAGCTTGGTCACTAACTCATCCACGCTGCTACTGTACCACAACGCGCGACCTCATACTGCACAACAGACGGTCTCCAAGTTAAAAGAGCTGGGGTCGGAATCTCTATGTCATCTTCCGTGCTCACCAGCCCTTGCGCCTACATACTTTTACTTTTTTCTGAATTTGTATAACTTTTGAATGGCAATTTCAAATGCAATTTTATAGGTAAAGACCTAATAAATAAATAATATATGCCCCAAAGAAGTAGATCCATAAAAATATTCAAAATGGACCATACTGGTTTAGTAGTAATTGAGTGGTTAACCATTATTTTTGTAAAAGTATGATTATATGCCGTGCTAACGTAAGAGCTAGCGAAAAAGCTCTTTTTACAAATCTTGTCGGTATTTTTCTATCTCTTTTCGTTTTCGATATAATCATATAAATAAAAATTAATGTTTGTTTGTTTGTTTGTTTGTATTTATGCGCTGCCATACCGTTTATCAGATTACGGTATAACTTTGTAAACTTATTGTTTGAACTTGCGCAAAGATTATAGGCATAGTACAATTAAGTTACAGTAGGTGGTATAGTACTGACAAATTTATTTGATAAGTATAATATGTAATTCAATTTCAATGAATGTATTACTATCATTCCTAACTAAACAATACTATTCCAAATTGAAAATGATATCTCCACAATTATTTTTTGGTACCAGCAAGTATCGTTATATAAAAACGTAAAAACCTTATTATAATTTTAATTGTTATTTTGAACATTAAATATCTTCACTAGTCTTAAATAACATACATACATAATATATAAACACTCACGCCTGTCACCCAGAAGGGTAGGCAGAGACTACAGACTTCCATTTGGCACGATCCTGACACACCTCTCTCGCCTCCTTCACATCCATATACCTACGAATACACGCTCGTCGGGTAAGTACTCCTGATTTGGCCCGTTTTCAATATATCGCCAATTTGGTCGATATACTTTCGCCAAGGACGTCCCTTTCCGACTCTGCCGTGCACTTCTGCATCATAAATTTGCTTTGTTACTCTTTCCTCATTCATTTTTTCCACATGACCAAACCACCGAAGCATTCCTTTCTTAATCCTGGTCACAAAATCGTCTTGCAAACCACACTCTTCTCTTATCACACAATTTCTCATCCTGTCATTCAAATTCAGCCCTACTCATACATACTCCTTAACGACCGCATTTCTACTGCGTCTATTTTACTCTCGTGCATCTTCTGCCACACCCAACTTACACTACCATACGTTAAAGTAGGCACCAACACAGCACTGTGAATTGTCATACGTACCTTTTTTAACACATTCTGACTTTTCAAGATAGAGTGTAGGCTACTTACTCTATTTCCTGCGTTCACTCGTCGATCTATATCCTTATCATATCTCCCATACTTGCTAAATACGCATCCCAAATATACAAACTCATCCACTTGCTCGATCAACTCCCCTTCTATTCTTATTTCACATATCGTTTTACTTTCTTCTTATTCAAAAACCATAACTTTTGTCTTACTTGGTTCACTTTCATACCCCTTTCATTTAGTGATCTGTTCATTAATGTAACCATCATTTGCAACTTGGCCGCCAACGACGCAAGAATAACATGATCATCGGAGTACAAAAGGCATTTGACTTGGTCATCAGCGTACAAAATGCATTTAACTTAAATAACGTATTTACTTATTTTTAATGTAAACGGTATTATTGAATTTTAATTGATTTGTCTTTTAGTTAATAGGGTCAGGATGCCGAATATGATATACCATTTTCATTTTTGGCCATATAACATAAATTATTACAATAATCACTATGAAAATTGCAATATTCGATAGGGTATTTAATAAAGTTTATATAATATGAGAAACCGTTTATTTCTAAGTACAATACATTTTTTAATATATCAATAAATATTAAAAAGTTCAGAAATTATGTCTCAGGCAAATGGTCTCCTATTATGAGATAGTGAGGATTGCTTATATGAGATAGAATCTCATATTAGGTTCTTTAGGTTTTGAGTATAGATGTTGAAAAACAAAGAAATCAATTTAAATTAAACTTTTTATTGGCTATATTCTCTAATTATTATATTAAGTAAAAGATTCCTCCTTCCGAAGATGTCAACGCTATAACCTGCTTTTTTCCTTTCACGCTAATAACTTTTTTTTTATAGAAGAGGGGCAAACGAGCATGCGGCTCACCTGATGTTAAGTGATTACCGCCGCCCATGATCAACCGCAACACCAGCGGAATTGCAGGTGCGTTGCTGGCTCTTTAGAAAGGAGTAAGCTCTTTTCTTGAAGGTCCCCAGGTCGTATCGGTCCGGAAAAATCGCCGGTGGTAAACTATTCCACAGAAAGGTTGTACGCGGAGGAAAACTCCTTTTGAAACGTACAGTGGTGGACCGCCAAGCATCCAGATGGTGTGGATGGTATCGGGACGTTTGCCGCCTAGTGCGTTCACGAAATTTGGCGGCTGGGATTAATCCGAACAATTCCTCAGAGCACTCTCCATGGTATATGCGAAAGAAAATGCAAAGAGATGCAACATCTCTTTGCAATGCCAGTGAATGCAGCCGATCGGAAAGCACTCGGTCGTCGACGATTCGAGCCGCTCTGCGCTGGATGCGGTCAAGTGGAAGGAGCTGGTACTGGGGAGCCCCAGCCCAGAGATGGGAACAGTATTCCATGTGCGGCCGAACCTGCGCCTTGTAAAGTTGCAGGCGGTGTGCCGGCATGAAATACTGTCCCGCTCTGCTGAGCACGCCAAGCTTTTTAGAGGCCAATTTGGCCTTACCTTCCAAGTGACCACGAAACTGTACGTCACTCGATATGTCGACGCCGAGGATTCCAATACTGGCTGAGGCAACAAGGGGAATGCCTTGAAACTGAGGGGATACGACAAAGGGGTTCTTTTTAGCGGTTAACGCGCAAACTTGTGTCTCCTGGGGGTTAAACTGGACTAGAATTAGTCGCCCCCAATCCGAGACTCTGTTTGGAAACAACTTTGGAACGTTTATGTTGTACCACTGTTATCCCGGTCTGAAACGGTTACTGGGTGTGAAAGTGATTTTATTTTATCAATTTCTGGCTCATACAAATCAAAAATGGTTGACAGCAATTTGATTGAATCCTTTTACTCTTGCAGCAGAAACTGCTTCAGAGTGTTCTAACTGATAAATCAGGATGTCTGCTCATAAACCCACGTAGCCACTTTTTACCAGCACATTCTTTAGTCAAGCTGAAGAGGTGCTTAAGATAATTTTTAATTGCGAATCGAAACGCCATGTGCTTGATGTCCTTTAGACGTAACCCATAAAATTGTTGGTCTAATTCTTTACAATATTTTTCTAGCTCTGCTTCTAAATGATCAGGCAAAGCTGGAGCTCTTCCCATATGAACCTTGACAAGTACTTCTGGATTGGCATCTTTCTTGACATAAAGTTCTAGGCTACGCTTAGGTAAACCGAAATGTTTTGTCACTTTTAAGTATCCCATATCTTTGCTTCACACTGCATTCACGGCCCGAATCATAGCATAGAGGTCCATCTAGAAAAAACTTCTTTTTGTATAGTTATATTTTTATTTATCCTAATATGAGATATCTCATTTTAGGAGCCTCCGTGTGTCTCATATTAGGAAAACATCCATATTCAACAAAATGGGTGCCTATTATTTCTTAGTAAAGAAAATGCAACAAAACTGCAAATGTATCGTAAAATTCATGTTTTAATTGACACAATGACTGTAAATTAGAATCATTTAGTGTAATTAATATGGTTGTATATATAACATTTAATGACAAAAATTGGGTTTTGGGGTTTCGATAAAACCAGCGCGTACACAACTTAACTTCGCATCGGACTGGGAAGCACTTACACACGTTTCGATCTTTTGCCACGTCACTTCTAGCGACAGTAGCGCCAAACGGCTGCGGCGATTAGTTCCGCCAAAACCTAACTACATATCTCATATTTGTTGACTATCTCACATTCGGCGTCCTTACCCTACAGCAGTAAAATAGTGACAAAAAGCTAAAATAACGTATGTTAAAACTTTTGCCGCATTTTAGTCAACTACATTGATGAATTAAACCAAAATTGTACGAGTCTAAAAGAGAGTTCATCCAAACATACGTAACTTAAATGAAGAATGTTAATATTAATACTTTACTGATTGCTATCAACATTGCCGCTTAATGGTAACGGCGAAGTTATATCGCGGTATACTCGTATGCGACTACAAACATACGTCTTGACGAAATATTGTACAGAATTTAAACCTCTGTATGCCTATGAAAGATTTAGGTGATGGAGAAATGCAAATTAATTTTGAATGTGATGAAATAGTACGTAACAAAATGTCAAATCAAATTTTATTAGAGACCTACATTATCAACCAAAATACTTCTACTTCGACTCTTCTGGCAGTGATAGGATTATAGAGGATGAATGCAGAAATCTCTATATGTAGACTAGAATGCAGAATCTTCAGAAAACGAAGAATCTTGTATACAAAGAGGACGCAAGAAAATATGAAAGAGAAAAAACTGAAAATTTTACAGAAAGTGGAAACCGATATGACGGGTATAATAAAATACATTATTTTGCTAAAACAAGAAATCCACGAAAAAGCAAACTTGAGTGCCCGAAAAAAGATAAGGACACACAAATATACAAGAACATTATGTAAAATCCGGCTATGACAACAAATGTGGAGGAAAACGCAGTGAAGATTTTCGGAAGAGACTAGAGTAGGAATAAATAATACATAGTGGGTTTTAAATTTGAGAGAAAACATATTCATCTCAAAATTATGTACAAAACAAGAGCCTCAGAAAGTAGAAAAATGAAAGTTCTAAGAATTAACATAAAAATGGAAGTTCCAGATATTTTTACAAGACTAATGATATTTAAAAAAATTTGACTTTCCTGACTTTGTTGATGCATATTAGTGTCAATAAGTTAAAGCATTTGTTATTGGTAATTTAAATTATTTGTTAAATGCGCGCTTTAATAAAATCTGGAAAATATTCCGTTTGATTTAAAAAAAAACTGAATACCTATATTTTTTATGTATATCTAATACATTCAATTGTTTTTTCCTTCCTTCTAAAAGTTTTATGTCATTGGTATATAAGTTACTATCGAGAAGTAATTAAATGTTGAACTGTAATAAAATTTGGTTAGTCACAAAAAAAAAACACCTTTTAATAATTTGGTTAGCATTTAAATATTCTGTTTGCAATAAAAACATTCGGCAATTCTTGCTTCGCAAATCATCTTGATAATGTTCAGTAATTTAATCATAAACAGATAGCTTACAATAATATGAGTTTTTTGAAGTGAAAACTTCTTTAGCGTCGTTATGATTTGAAATTCTAAGAAACGAAAAAACGACAATAAAAAAAACAGACATAAATTCATAAGATTTAACGAGGGAGAAAATGAGATAGGAAGCATTATAGCAATGCTCGCGAGAAAAAAAGAATACTCGTCGAAAATTTGTGGCTGTCCCGTACTTTTAAAAGTGCATTAACAATGTTGAAGATTTCTTAGGATATTTTAAACATGGTCGAATTAAAATATGTCGTTTAAATAAAATAAGTAATAAAATAAATGAGTCCAATTAATACAAATTTGAAGAAAAAACGGACCATCAAACCGGTAGTAGGTAGTTTCGTGCGTTTCCCATCTGTATGGTTCACTTTTCATAATCTATGATTTTCATATAGAAATGGCAGCCACGTGGCAGCGGCAGTAAACAGTAAAAAATTAACAAATACAATTAACCATATTGAAAAAACATCCATTAAAAATCCATAATTTCATAAATTCAGGCCATCATCTAGCGTCTATTTTACGTATCACCTTGGGTGTCAATTAGTTGTTCGATAAAGTTACATTTGCCGTAAAATATTTGTATTTTATATTTCATTTCATTCGAAGGTTTCACTTCTGTCGCGTGTTAGCTGCACCCATGTGTTTTTTATGGGATACTGTAACAAACTAGCACACAGTTCACCTGATGGTAAGTGGTTGCTGCGGCTCATAGACATCTACATCTATCCTCGATTACTAATAAAAATGCAGATGCGTTGTCACCCGTGAGGACTAAGGCCTCATTTCCAGTAAAAAGGGGCTCCGGTTCTCTACACTCACCATACGAAACACAGCAGCATTAAGCTACTCTTTTACGCTGGTATTCTGTGAGAGCATGGTCCTTCCCGGCTCGAGCCGACCCATTCGTGCTACAACTATACTACTAACATAACTACAGCGTGACTCTACCACGTATAAAATTAAATTAAAAAACATGTTTTTTTAATTTAATTTCTTAAACATTATTAAATTGACACAGATGTGGGTTTTTCTTTAACTGACTAAAGCAAAATATTAATAGAATTACGGAAAATTATTTTTCTGATATTGCATCATTCTAGATAAGTAATTATTTAAGTATCACTTGTAAATTAATTAAAGTATCATTCTAGATACTTATATTAATTGATTTACAAGTTGTTATGGTAAACGCAACTACAATAAAGTATTTAGCACTGTGTTAGTATTATGAGGTAGTTCTAGGTAAGTATATATTTAAACATTATGCACTTTATTGAATAATTAATTAAATTTAATAGGCAACATAAACAACAATTACGGCATTCTTAATTAGTATCGAAAAGTATAAACATAATAATTGATATAACACCTATTATGCTGTAATAACACTTGATATGCTAACTTTTGTTTAGAAAAATATGAAAATATTCAACTAATAAATTACGTAAAATGTCAAATCTAATTTTACTCAAAATATAAAGTTCTTATTTTTATACAGGTTGATAGATGTCATAACACTCTAAAGTCTATTAACAAAGTTTTAGCATAGCTTTTTTGTTTTTTCAATTTTACTCAAAAGTAGAATTTATCGAAAAGTCGCCTTTTTTAATTAGCAGGGCGGATTACTTATTATATAATGGCAAAAAGCTGCGATAAATTCAAGAGGAAGGACCAACAAACTTTTATATAGATGAATGAATTTATTTATTTTGCAGAACGTGATGACAAATATATCAGTACAGATTCCATTATATTTTAACAGAAATCATTCAAAAATATAATTATTTTTCATATTACGTAGATATGTCATTAACAATACAATATTAGTAGATCAACAATTATGCCTATTCAAATTAATAAATTTAATAGGCATGTCTAATAAATTAATTGATACATTATTATCACGGTTATTTAATTATTATAAGCAATCGTCAAATTAACTACATGCATTTGTTCCAATAAAATTTCATTAATATTATAGTACACTTTGTCGTCCGGTCCTAAATAATATAGGATAAGGATAAGGTTTGCTAGGCACTTAAAACAAAGTAACATATTATCCAGTTTGGGGTCCTGTTGTCTACAACAACAAAAAACGTGTGGGGACATTGCACTTCTGTATAAAGTTATTGTAACTTTTGCATGTAGAAGTTATCTCATTAAAATGATTTTTGTAAAATTTTGCTAAAAATATGTTTAGTATGGAACGCATTAGCATTTAAACCACAGAAAATATTGTACATAATTATTTAATATTTATATTTTTTTATTTATTGTACATAATTATTTAATAATATATTAATAATTCATGGATCTCTTGTTTCGTCTCCAATAAGGAAAAAAACAGTTATTTTTCTTTTTATATAATCAAATAAGATTATGAGGCATGCACTTTTGGATTTTCCAAACTTTCTTTAAAGCTTCTCGTACAATAGGATTTTGTAGATAATAGTCAATTATTAAATATGGTGAAGGACGTTGATATACTAGATTATGATAAAATAACTAGTAATTATTAAGTAAAATATAAGAATGCATCACTTAAAGTGACTTTTTGCTTATTTTAGAGCGCAAACCTTTAGCCTTTGTGTTGATAAACAACAGTACAACAATAAGAAGAAAAATTATAATTGAAAAGAATTAGTATTCAGAAAAAGAAGCATATAATGTAATAAGGTAGGTAAATGAGGTATAATGATGTAAACAATGCGTGGCAAACTAGATAATTATGTTACACAACAAATATTGAAGTGAAATAGAAAAATACACGACATCTCACGGATTGTGATGATCCCTTTAATGAATTGAAAATTTTGCCTTATAACGTATTAATTGCGTATACTATAGAAAAACTTGTAAAACATAAATGGGAATAATATGTGCAAATTGATAAATATGTATCATAAATGTTATTCTCTTTACGAAAAGATCACACATATTTCATTAAGCTTTCCTTTAAATTAAGCAATGTTCAGAAACGATATCTAAGAACTTATTTAAAATTGCTTTTAACTTAAATCCTCGATTTTAAAACTTTTTTTATAGGTAAAACTTTATCGATAAATGAAGTTAAATTTACCTGGTGGTAAATGGCGATTGCAGATCGCCTGCAGCCAACTTCAAACAAAGAAATCTATAGATGCATTGTCACCTCTG